TCTCCCATTTCCCCCGGCAAGTTTAACGTCGCCGGAGTATGGAATAATAACGGCTCCCCATTCACAAAACAATGCATTTGTGATGATGGCGGCCACTGCCTTTTCCGTGGGCTCGATGATTCGCTTACGATTATATTCTCGATGCTGTGTCGCAATCTCTCGCCCAAATCAACCGCTGCTGGTGGAGGTTTGCCGGGGATGTCTCCTGCACAATCCCCCGGTTAAGTGCCGATAACCGTCGTCGCACTGCCTTGATGAAAAAGTAGCAGTCAAATAAACGCCTGAACAAAAGTGGCAGCCGCGTACAAAAAGCGTGACGCCACAACCTCCATTTCCGCGATGGTTAAATACTTCAGCGACGGCATGGCGCATACACACCGGACAAACTTGTCACTCAGGGACAACGCCCGGCGTGAGTATGATCAAACCGCACCACAGAAAGATTTAATGCGTAGCGCCCGATTCGCGTTCCTCCATCGTAGCGTGACGGCCATCCGCATCACAAAGCACCTGGGCTTCCCACAATGTCACATCGCTTTTCGGCCCTGCAATGCGTATATCATCGGTCCATACGTCGATACGCAACAATGGAGGTGCGGCTCAGAGGCGGTGAGCCACCGTCGTCACCACCGCAATTGCCGAAGTAATAATAATCCGGAAAATTTCTGGGCCGGCCTTGTGTCCCATTGGGAGCCGTGTGAGCTCCACCAGCGTGCCGTCCTTCACGCGGCATCGAAAGAGATGCCGAGTTTCCGCAGCAACAAAGACCGGAAAAAGGATGCCCTTAATTCCACGCAGAAAGCGGCCTCAGCCATCACAGGTGGCAAATAATGGGAAATGTGTAAAAGAGGAGCATGAGCCTCGTAATGGTCGTCTCTCTTCTCGTCGCGTGGCCACGCGATCCATCGTCGTCGTAAACCGGTGGTTTTCTCCTCCACCACAGAAAAGGCTTTATCCATCCGCCTGTTATTGTGAACGATGCGTCCACTATTATTCCCGCCTCTTTCATTAATAGCGCGTCAGCGACTGGAATCCTCCGTGAGCCTTCGCGCGCGTTACCGGAGGAGGATAAAGGTAAAGGGGACCGCCCGACGCGCCCACATACTTGCATGAGCCTCTTCCAAGATCGCCGGGTTCAACCGGCTCTGGATCCACTCCAGATTCAATGCGGGCACATTGACTTGTTGCTGTAGCGGGATGACTCGTTCCTCTTGTGGAGTGGCCAGGCGCTTCCTTGTCGTGCGTCTCGTAATGGCAGCGGCGCAATACTAAAAATCATGGAAAAACGCTCCTCCGCCCTCAGCCAGGGTTCCTGCCCTTCCGTGGTTTCTCCCTTCACATCAATGCGACCAGCGGCGACACCTGGGTCAGCATTGTGGTGTACCTCCCCAAATATCGAACTGTGCTCTGGGGAAGTTAGAACGGGTCGACGTGCACCGCCAACGGCGAGATCACGTGTGGATTCAAATTGCACGTCTCCACGATTTGAGCAGCGTGCCTCAACGCACCGCGTTCTATGGAATGCGCCGTGGCATTTCAAGGAGCCAGAGCTCGTTCGACTTTGGCATTCGTGATATTCGTGAGCTTTTCGTTTTCTTGAAGTGTCCTGCATAACGTTATAATGTCGAACACGTCCTGCCCTCGTATCCTGACGAACCGAAAGGCGCGGTGGGGATCCGCCCTCGCCGTCCTCGGCGCCACGGGCCAATCCAAAATTAAGGTCCCGTCCGGCTCCAGTGTGGAATTGCTGGGAGTCAAGGCCGCAATCTCGGACCAACAGCTCGCCGTTATCCACGCAAGTCGTAAGAAAACACGTTCCCTCCAATCGGTCCGGCTGCGAATATATTGATCCATCTCTTCCTCTGTCGAGGGGTGCGTCTGCTCCGTCTCGGTTCGCGCCGCAAGTTTTTGTAACCCCAGAATCACCATGTCCAGCGGGGTTCAATCCATCTGCAACATGGACCGCAGCATCCTGGCGTACTGCCGCCGGGTCGATGGCGCCACGCAGACTATTGCCGCCAAAAAGGCCGCGCAGCTCTCCTCGTTCATCGTGCGTTCGTGCGTGCAGCAAAAGGTGGTAAATTGCCCGCTAGGGACATTCTCTGCTCCCACGTTGACGGCGCACACATCTCTCGAGCCGCCTCGTTCGCTCTCCTCATGTAGCTTGTCCAAAGCGGGGATGTCGGAGATTCGTCGTACAACAGTCGAGCATCGTTGGCGGATGAGCTCCATTGCCCTTCTCGTCGGTTGATTCGGGTGATTCAAAATATCAGACGAAGTGTCAGCGGCACGGTGCGACGTCGTGTGCGCGGATTGGTGGGAGGTGGCGGATTGGATGGGGCTGTATTCTTCCGCCCTCGTAAGCAGCCGGCAGCCCCTCGCCGTTTTTTAATGGCGGACTGCGCTGCGCACGTTGCGTGTAGATGCGTCGTGTCCATAAATACGACACAACTGACATCGCAACAATCGTTGTTTTTGTTGGGTTGCGCGCCGCTCCAGAAGAGGCTGGGTCGACCTCGCGAAGGTGTCAACCTCGTGAACGGCCATGTGAAGGCGGGCACGAAGTGTGGAGGGCGGGATATGCTGGGGTCGGTTGTTATCGCGATCAGCGTCCGGAAGGTCTGCGGCAGGGCCCTGCCAAAACCCATGAGCTGATCGCTGGGTTCCCGATCCATCTCCAGTGCGCGTCTGCACGACACCAAACCGTCGATGGCCGTTTGAACCTGAGGGCCCACTTAGTGCAAACAATAACCGTATGCGCATCGGAGGTCGACGAGGACTCCGGAGACGACGTCATTCCATACACGCGGGGCCCAAGTGTCAACGTCCAATGCAAGGAAATGCAGTAACTGATCCTCTGCACCGGAGCCATCTTCCAAGGGGAAGGTGCGGGAGGGCAAAGGCATCGAGTGAGGGAGACGTGGTCGCCCAAAACTGCCCTGAGACGTATGGGTGTTGACCCGCCGTCTCTCTCCCGTGAGATTGCGTTGGGGAAACGTGGATGCTGGCACGCCCCCAGCCATCAAACGATGCCGTTTGTGCGGCTGTGTGCTTACGCCGTCTGACGGCCCTCTCCGAGAGGTGGGCGCCTCGCGTTGACACGGCGTCTCCGCGTCCCGCAAGAATACCGCCGGCCACCGCAATGTGAGACCCGCGTGCCAACAAGTGATTATGCGCCTCTTCCACCTGAGAGTGAAGCTGAGCACTCCGATCCGCAACGCCCGCGACGGCACTGGCGTAGTCGGTGCTCAGTCTCTGTCCTCCAGCAATGATCAGCCCTTGCTGGACTCCCAACTCCCGGGCAGCACACACACGATGGGCAGCAGCACTCGAACCCCGAAATTAGATACTTGAGGCGCCCGGCGATTCGGAAAGTGCCCCGCAACGGTCGACTCCTCCCAGTGCATGGCGATGTCTCCTGAAACCAAGCGTAAGCCTGTCATTGTTGCGGCGGCGGCTACCACCGCATCCAACGACCCGTGTTCATCAACGAAGGCGAGCTGCACCCGTACATCGCCATGCTGGCGTGCCAAGTCCAACATGCGGGCACCAATGTTGCTTCTCCCCGTCGCCGTGTAAAGGAAAACACTGCCATTCCTTTCAATCAGCTTGCAGGGATCCCTTGTGGCTGTGAGAACTAAAATAATTACAAATCGTCTGGACACTAACAGTTCCCTGATTCCCTCAGTGACGGTCAACCAAAGATTCACAAAATAGAAAAGGATCGTGGAGAAGTATCTCCGTTTTACCAGGACACAAATACATTAGGGACGCCAGCCCACCTCATGAGCATCCTCCTCACAAGCTCCCAATGAAACAAAGACGTATTTCCGTACTATTCCTTCCTATCGCATGAATTCCTTTAGAGGAGCGCGATGGAAGCAACCAAAGGAAACGATAACGTCAAGATGAATATTTTTGTTTATGCCGCACCATCCGCCCCCTCTCTTGATTCCCACCGTTGCGGCGGGGTCTTGTGGCTGGAGAGGCCCAAAGTCCGCCACTTCGTAAGCTATAAAAATAGGTGTATCCGAATAGAGCGTTCATCATGTCACGAGAGTGGGGCCACCAGAATATATAAATATACACATATGTGCGGAGCAAACAACGAGGGTTTGGCGAACGCACTGCCTCTCCGTTTACTCATTCTCCCTTTCCGTCGTATTTTATTTCCTTCGGAAATTTGGGGATCCGGCCAGCAGCCCAGACGAATAATCCTTCCTTTCGCTTTCCTGTTTGCGTGTGTGTCACAGGCACGGTTTGATTCAAGTGGCATTGGCTCCTCCACGCAACCACATCCTTCCGTTGCCGCATTTGCGGGGCAAGTGAGTTTGGACATCCAGAGCACACACACACACACACACACGGCCGCGACGAGAGGGACGGGGCGCATCCAAGTCCACGGCGCAGTCCTTCACTTCTCTCCGCCCCGACGGAATAGCGCTGCGCCTCGCAGCGGGTCGTGGCGGGTGGCGTCCCACACTCACAACTGAGGCACGGCGCACAAACAATCGTCGTCGCGGACCATCGGTGCCTCTAGCAGAAAAGAAAAAGAAGAAGAAGTGGGGGCGTGTCAGCAGCACAGCCAGCAGAGGAATAATAAAAAGGGACACGGAGACACACGGCGGCAGTGGACACGGCACAGACGGAAAAGAGACTGTAGTGATTTACCGAAAGAAAAAAGAAAAATGAAAAAAATTAAAACAAAAAAACAATTGACTCGGCAGATATGCCATTTCACGTGCCACGCAGCACAATACAACCGTGTTCTTGAGTTTATACATACCGCCCGCACACACAAATAAAAAAGCAAAAAACAAAAACAAAAAGCAAAAAAAAGCAAAAAAAAAAATGAAACAAAAACAAAAAAAGAAAAAGAAACACAGGCATAAAAGAAGAAGAATAAAAAAAAGCCTGCTTGACAAAGTTGGGTGAGTATTGCTGGGAGCTGCACAGTTGTTGTTCCACGAAAAGCCGCCATTCCACTCCTCCCTCACACCTCAGCAGAGAGCCGCGGTGCCCCACAGCCCCAGAAGCAGCAGCAACAACACCCGAGACACACACCCATGCACGGTGCTGTCACCAGTTAGAGCCATGGCCGCCAAGTCGCTCAAATGCCCGTGCTCAAGCAAAACGTCATGGTCCAAGAGCGATGTGGCGTTGGACCCCGATGGGATCTTGGTTTCCCCAGGCAGGGTGCTTTTATTACCCGGCGCGGCATCATCGCCATCCAACACTTCATCATGGCCTTGAGCAGTTTTCGGGTCTGTGCTGGGCTCATGGGCGGCTGTGGCACCGTCCATGGGCGCCACCTCAGTGCTGTGGGATGAGTCGGGGCCGCT